TTGACGAGCACCCTCCTTTCACGCTTGGTGTTTCCACTTCGCTTGCGCATTTACACTCACGTACGTCATAACGCTTCGTTTTTTCCACAATAAAGCAACAAAACGCATCGTGTTTTTTCTCATTATTACCTTTTCGCAAATCGCTACATTTTTCTACCATGTATTTTTGACGTGTTAATGCGTCACCCCTAACCCTAGTATAAGTTTGAACAGGACCCTATGAAAAACAGGCTTTAACAAACCACCTGATATGTTTTAATCCTGTATAAAATCTAGTAAAATAAAATAAAATATTAACGAAACCTAGGCCTATTACATCGCGTTTTCTATTGTAATATTTCTTATAGTGCCTGTGTTCACGCAGCGCTTCGTATTTTACGTTGCGACTTGGTACGATAATACTCTAGATTTTCTCAAACCGCTGTCACATCTTGCGGCACCATATTATTGTGATAACAGAAATATATCGGTTGAGTTATAAATATTACGCATTTTAAACAGATCGCACATTGCCTAATTTAGTATTAGTCAATACCCGTTTATTACAACAATGCCGAATAAAGAAGGTAAAGAATTGCTCGAATTAGTTAAAGGTGAGTAATGAAAAATGTAGTATAATAGCAACATATAATTTACTTTCTCGTTTTAAACACATTAAACACCCTGGTTAAATTGGCTAGGCCTATTACGAGTCTAAAACAATTATAATCAAAATTATTGTTACCAAAAGCATTCAATATAATACTCATTGGTGATAGAGAATGACTTGTACCGTGTAGTGGACGCTAAGAAATCTGTCTTACGGAACATTAAATTCAAAAGCGCCAGGTAGACTAATACTCTAGCAAATTGTTGTAGCTCAGCTACCCCGGTGTATCACAAAAATTGTTTAGTGATAAGCTATTTACACCGATCGTCAAACATTCGTAATGTAGCATGAGCAATACGACGTTTTCACAAGGGTTTTGTCGTCAAAAATTGCGTTTTGATTGATACGGTTCAGAAATAGAGATGAAGACTAAAAACTTTAGTAGCCGGATTGCTACTGGCTGACGGCCAACCGCCAGGCCCTTGGGAACAGGTTTGGAATCTATATGACGGCGCGTTTGCCAAAGTGTGCAACTCAGCCACCAGGAATATTCTCGTTACACGCTTGTTATGTCGGCCGTCTAGCCGACTACAAGTATGTACTGCTGGACAGAACACACATCAACTCAAAAGCATTGGCTTGTCAAAAAGCAAAAGTACAATAAATTGGGTCAGATTATGAAACAGCATATTTTTTTTTGCGATTTTCATCTTTAAAAAAATTAAGGGGATATGACGAATTGCGTGAACAATACTTGATATGGAACGCATTCTGGTGACGCAAAAAGTAACCAAAGTGAGCCATTATTACATGACGCTCACATAGTTGTTATTGATAGGCCTATAGGTAATTTTAATATTATTGTTAGCATTGTTATTACCTCCGCCAAAGGAGGTTATGTATTCACTGTTGCCGTCTGTCTCGTGCTGTGTGTCTGTCTCTCAACAAGATTACGCAAAAATAAGGAATTGATCGTCATAAAATTTAGTGGTATAGAACACGATAAACTAAGAAAGCGATATTAAATTTTTGGAAGAAAAAGTAAAAAAAATAAAGTCAAGGTCATGGAAATTCGATTTTTTTACCCTCGAGCATAAAACGAAAATAATGGAATTGCCCATAGCCGGCCTGCGTATTGCTCGGTATTCAGGAACAGGGCTCTAGGCTACTTTTAGTATAATCAGCGGAAAATGAATAGACCTATGTTCGATTTGTGTCTCATTTGAAGTTAATAAACTGATCATTTTAAACGCGCAATTATATGTTTTATGAGCCAATTAGGCCAATGCATAATTATAAGCAAATGTCAAACGATGTTTTTATGGTCTTAAGTTTAATATTTCGAAGTTGTTGTATAACACCAACTGTAATTAAGCTATATACAAATTCTAACGAAAGTAGGCAAAAGGGCGTATTGTTTATATGTATTGACCTTCTAAATACTCATGCCCACTTGAAACTTTGAGTGAGCTTATCTATTTTTAGGAGATTTCAAGATTATACTATTAATATACCTTTACCATAACTCAATAAATGTATTATTTTCAAAGTGCAGGCTCCGTTTGATTATGGGCTTGCGTGCCGGATGCGTGCACTGCGTATTGATCCTTGCAAAATCCATGCATACAATCGTGATGCTGATGCCAAATCCGGAAGCCTTCCCGATTGCGTCGGGGACTATACGCAGCACAACGATTGCACTGAAAACACTGTAGCGATTTTAATGAAACCAGGCTCCAAAGCTATAGCCAGAATGCTTAGCGGGTTATGATTTTATACATGAGTAATCGCGTTGCGTAATTCTACATATTATTTTCGTTAACTTAATCAATTGCTAGGTAAAACATAGCACTTAACAAGACTGTAAACAAACACAGCACTCCAGTCCATCACGAGTGCTGAAAGCTCATCATTTCTATTAATTAAGTGGTCCTTAAGCCTAGTCTGAAGTGCTGACTTGGTTTTTGTTGTGGTTGGTGATGTTTGTTGTTGTTGTTGTTATTCTGTTATTGTATTTGTTAATGCTATTGTTGTTGCATTGTTGCTATTGTATTTCGTAATTCGATGTTGTTAATATTATTGCCATTTATATGGTTTTTGCTGTTACTATACTATACATTTTCTGTTAATATTATTGTTAATGATTGATGTCATGTGATTGCTGTTACTATTTTTGCTATTGTTAATGTTATTATTAATAATGTTATCATCATTACTATCATTATCATGCATATTATTATTATCATGCATATTATTAATATTATTATTACTATAAATTATTATTACTGTTGTTATAATTATCATGCATATTATTATTATTATTATTATTATTATTATTATTATTCTTAGCTTATTATTTTCATAATTATCGTCATCATAATCATTATTATTGTTACATTGCTTCTATTCGGCTTATTATTAGACTTATTATTATGATTATTTTATTACAAATGTTAAAAAAGCAGAGGGTGGTCTATACAGCATAGCATAGCTGAGTATATATATTGTGTAATTTTAATTACAGACAACAAAATAAGACACACAGACTAATAAAAAAAAAAAAGTTAGAAAACGTTCGCCGATGTGATTGTATCTTTCACGATACCGGTATTATGATCATCTTGTCGAATACAAGATTGGAATTATAAATATCGTGAAGCTTCATGCCACAATTACGATATCTCTTGAAGCCTCTGATTGGATAATAATGACCCTAATCGTCTGCATGTCTATGTTTCTCAAGCCGAAGTCTTTTCTTCCCATTCATGATATTACTTGAGTTTTAATTTCACCTGCAACAATTACTCCCACTGCGATAAGAAAATTTCCGTTTAAATTATAACCTCAGGTATTTTAGGCTAAGTCTCTTCGTGGAGATAAGTAAACAACTCAAAGGCGATTACTTACAAACAATATCTTAAAACTTTGTGCTATTTTTCTATTAGTTATACTCAACATTCTTTCAAAGTATACGGTACCGTTTGTTTAATTAACATTTTTCGAAAGTATAAAATAGCTTTTAAATATTTTTATAAGAAGTTCTAAAAACATTTAGGTCTATTTTTCAAAGAATAGGCCTAAGAAAAAACGTGCCATCCTTTTGATTGTTTGCGTCTTTTTTTTTTTTTTTTTTTTTTTTTTTTTTTTTTTTTTGTTTTTTTGCGTTTTTTTTTTTTTTTTTTTTTTTGCATTCATTGCTTATTTTGCACCTCTTTATTTTCTACGTACCTTGCATATTTGGGGGCGCCCTATCTCAATACGAATTGCGATAATTCACTTGCTAATTAATAGATGATTATGAAATACCGTGTTTGTTGTTAAACTGACCACCTTATTCTTTATTTTCGTATACACAAGTTATTAATTGTGTATGTCGTCTGCCTATAAGAATCTTTAATTTTTGTGCGTCGATTTTCGTTTGCGCCTCTGTTGCTAGGTTTATGTGTGCATTTTGCTTATTTTGGGTAAATATTACGTTATGACTTAGTTAATCAATTTAGACAGACCACAGACGTTATTGATTCGTGATAACAAAATTAATATCACGTGTCTTACTTTCCACCAATTGGCTGCTTTGCAAAGCGTAATTCGTGGCATCCACATACATATTACTGGTGCTACTTCTGTTCTGGGGCGACGCCAGGAACTCCCAGACGAGAGCTCCAAGCTCCCCGACAAGGGGTCCCTCCCCCGGTTAGGGAATATATTAAATTGTCGGGGATTTTAAAAAAATAAAATAATAAAATTTTGTGTTAATTCTTTATTTAAAAAGGATAAGTTGATAGAAAACCATGCAAGTTAAGAGTCCCCCTGTCGGGGAAGAGCATGACGTCACCACTGCAACCCATACGATCGCAATAGTATACAACTCGCACATACTGTAGCACTGCTCGCTCTAAACAGTTTTTAATTCAGCTTAGTAAGGCATGTCTGAATTGTACTTTCGGCGCTCGAGATTTGATTTTTCCCGACGACCTTGCTGAAAATTCCCAGACAGGAGGTCCAAGCGGGGGTCCTTTAGCCACCTGGACCCTTGCCCCTGACTGCTGTTGCTATTTCGGGATCGTTTTTAAGGACACTAATTATAGAGTTGATAACTTGGGCCTATTTCTTTTAAATGAGCAATTAATTTGTTAACGTCTTCTTTCAATCTTATAAAAAAATGTCTTTATTATTGAATGACTATTATTCAGGTGATAGTACAGTACTGTATGCGGATATGTATTTGCATAATAATTCGTGAGGATCGTCGATGTCACAGCCGCCTCCGCCATTACACCGTCTTCTTCGTTACCATCATCACAATACTCAATCTGGTCTGTTTCTTTTCTTTCACATGATTTGTCCGTTGTGATTTTCATAAACGTCTTGCTTCTTTTAAGTTGAAAATCAATCAAGCAAATTAAAATGGTAACAATTAAAAAACAGTAAAAATCTTTATTATCTGCAATTGCAACCCAATAAATAAATAAAGACCAACAACGCTCCCGCGGCACAACACAGAAGCTGTTTTTAAACAATAATAGGCCTAAGAGAATTCTACACCGCATATAAAGAAGCTTATAAAACTTAAACACCAATCCATTTCACTGAATATGCTAAAATTAAATACGTCATCATCCATATGTAATGCAAACATCGAAATGCACAATCGCTTATATTCAACAAAATTTGAATAATTTATGCATAATACTACATGAATATTCATCACCTTATACATATGCATACCTTTGTATAAAAGTGTATAAGGTAAACTGTACTATGGTAGTTTTAACAAGTATATCATTATATAACCGTATGTGTAAGTCTACGGTTACAAAACAGCAATAATAACCTATTATGGAAGGTGGTTCGTGGTAATTTTATACTCGAAAGCCAAATCAAAATTGTATGTCTGTATTGTGCTTTCTTGGCTAAAAAAATTGTTTAAATCAAATGTACAATTGTAATTTGTTTGTATACACCTATAAATTATGCAGGTATATAGTCTAACCTTCAGGCCTCACTCTGCTCATAACAAGACGTATTGTACCAGTAATGGGTGTATCATTTGTATGAGTTACATGATCTTATGTTCACAAGGCCAAATAACAAAATATTGTACACAACCTTCGTAAACGAATGCTGAGTTTTCGGGCTATTTTTATCAAAAAATATTCCAATGGAATTATAGAAAAGCTACCACGAATGTATAATAGAATGCGACTAACGATATATTTATTTTTCATCAAAAATTATCTACATATATAATTTCACGAATCCTATACTGGATAGTATATTTAAATGGTTGTTATGTGAGAACTTCCAACAACATCTAAAATGAGATATGCATTATGTACTCAAAATAGCTAAGAATACTTTTATAGCAGCGCTACTGTAGAAAAGTTTGTAGGACCGTATGAAATGCATTGGCGTATTATTGCCGTTACTGTACAATGATATTGGAAGAACAATGATAAATTACAAGCGTTCATTCTTACACTACATTATACATACAGTACATAATTCGATCTTTAATCTACACACAGGGAGGTGCTTCAGTTAAATTAAAAGCAATCAATCAATCAATCAATCAATAACTCAATCAATTCAAGTGATCACTGCAAAACAAAACCACAAATGAAACAGATATACTATAGTCTTGCCCCTAACAATAAAACGATGTGATGAAAGCTAATAGTTATCTGTAACCATCTTGGAGGAAACTTCATCTTCATCTGGTCGTTATAAATAATTTCAGATTCAGATATATTTATTCAGATAATAATGAATGAATGAAATGAAACTGAAATTAACAAAACAAATATTGGTAATGACAATGATGAGTTTTAATCATCTTGGGGGGAGTTATCCATGTGCACATTTTTGTGATGCAAACCATTTCAGCTTCGGCTGCTGTTTGTTTGTAATTGTTTCTATATGTTTATGCCTGAATAAATAAATTAACTCCTGGGTTGAGAGAAGCAATGCAGAAATACATTGTCTCAGGACACACACACGTGTGTCCAACCTCAGACACAGAGTTTGGTCCAATCACAACCAATTTCAAGAAGAGACGATGTTAAAGTAAGTTGGTTCAATTAACAGGAATTAACTCATTTATTCATTCAATATATTTCAGAAAATATTTCCACACAACAAAATTAACAATATGTACAGCATTAGGCCTTCATTAAATATTCGGTGCTGTCGTTTCATGAAGACCATGTGAGAATAAGTTGGTCCAAACACCAAAAAAATAATGACCATTATTTTCATGAATAGACCGTGTGAAAACAGGTTGGTCCAGTCACCAGGAAATACCGTAATACCATTAGTTTCATGAAGAGACCATGTGAAAATAGGTTGGTCCAATCACCAAGAAATAATGACCATTAGTTTCTTCAAATATAGGGTCTGTGGTTTCATGAAGAGACCATGTGAAAATATGTTGGTCCAATCACCAAAAATTATTGACCATTAGTTTCATAAAGAGAACTTTTAAAAAAAGGTTGTTCTAGTCCCAATATGAAATAATGATGCATCTTAAATTTCAACTTGGGAGAGAATGCATGAAAATGCTGCGCATGGTTCACAAATGAGAACATAGCAATAACACAATAATTGAGCACCAATAAACTAAATTTGTGAATAAACTTAACACATTTCTTTATAAATTTACATAAACATTATATAATATTAAGGAAAAAACACTTCAGAAGTAGATTAACACAACACAAATCTTATGCATTATACTTATTACATATCAAATTTATTAAATAAAAAAAGTTAGGTAATTTAAATACATACAAAACTCCATATGACCACAAAATGGAGTGATATTTAATAAAGGGATAAATCGCAGGTACTCAAGAATAAGCAAATTCTATCTTTTCAAAATATTAAATAATAATAAGCATAATACTTAATTACATTATATACTTCTTCATAAATCTTCTCTTTCATATTTTGCTATCTCAAATTTTTAACACAGTTAACTACATTACAAACTCAAGTCTGAAAAAACCTTACTTTATTGCACTTAAAAACGTCAAAAAACTGTCCAAGATTTTTAATACATATGTACACAAAAATTTGTAAATCCCAAATACAAGCTTTTATTTATTTGAGAAATTAACTTTGATTACAACATAAACCATAAAGGTTTGTAGGTTCCGGTTGCATGGTTATCACTGTATTTTGCAAGAGTTTTCAATTACATGACAGCTAATCCCATCTGTGCAATATTTTTAGAATGACATTGGGAAAATATTTTGGTATCAACATTACTGTGTACGAAAGTTCTTCATAATATGTACGATTAACATAAAGCTTACTGTATATAAGTTTTCCTTTGGTGAAAATTTTTTTCTAGATAATATAAATGTACAATATTATCCCGAAACTACCAAACACACTTCCTACCTATAAAAATATGTCATTACCATAACATTAGTCAAGTACTAATCGCTAGTAATATCTGTGACCATGTAGTAGAGTTTTAGTTATGTCAAGTGTATTTACAATTCTAATAATGAAACCACACTATGATTTTGAAACCTCTGTGACTTCATTATAGGCTTAATCAACTAAGCTGTCACTACGATTTCAAATTGATACTGACAGCTCAATATTTCATAAAGAATGGAGGGGAGGCAGGAGGAACATCATTTCTTGAGGGAGGGGAAACAAAATTAAAAAAAAACAATAATGATTTAATGATAGGCAACTGAATATTCAAGACAGCCTATAATCAAAATTTGTATTATGCCTATTAGTCTCACTTAATATTTAAAATGAAGTGGAAACAAAGTTCTGCATGAATTCTTTCTTATCGCAAGTGCGAGTGAGTGGTTCATGTACTTCAAATACACTTCATTACCAACATATAAAAATATGTTTGCTCAGCGGAATGATAAGCAGCCATAAACATATTTAGCTGCCTGGTGGACATGCTGAAAGTTGGGGGGGGGGGGGCCAGGCTAAATGCTGACAGACATGCTGAATGTTGGGAGGTACAGAAGTAAGTGCAATTTTTAGGGTCAGATGTGGTTCGAGGAAGTTCCATGAGCTTTCAGATGCAGTTCGGTCTCTCAACCCTCGAGGCCAGGGTTTCAATCCCTCGCTGTGAATTTCGCTTGTGTCCTTGAACAAGGCACTTTATTCAATATGTCTCTTTCCACCCACAAGTATAAGTGGGTACCTGGTAGGGTTAGAATGCCAAATACACTAGTTAGCTGCTGCAACAGTTATGGAATACTCCCCCCGGGGAACTGAGTATGTGTTCCACATGTGTTTAATCCAATGACTGGGTAATAATAATGTGAAATGCATAGAGCACTTAGTGTTATGTGCTCTATAAGTTTACCATTATCATTCTTATTATTGTCTATTATTATTGTAATTGTTATTGTCTATTATTCCATCACGACAATAACAATTACTATTCTTATTATTATTATTATAACATCTTAAGAACCATCCTGATTCCTACTGAATTAAAGGAAAGATTTAAGCAGCCTGTAGAAGTGCAATGTTTTCCAGCACAAAGATTTGGTCAATGAAAAGTAAACATAAATTTGATAGAGCTGAGAAAGCAATTCTGCGTTGGATGTGTAAGACCTCACTCAAAGACAAAATCATTTCAGCAGAGGCAGTCTTTGGGTATTTTATAATTATCATTTATTATTATTATCATTTTTATTATCATCATTTTATTCAAAGCAGTTTTGCAAGCAAAATGATTGGCCTTTTCGACAATGGGTCCAGAGATCCCTGACAGGGTTAGGTCCCTTCGAGCCTTCCTCCTTTCCGATATTTTATTGTCACTGCCATGGATTGTAATAGATAACTCGTTTGGCATGGACTATAGGCCCAAATCCCATAAATTCTGTGTGGCAAGCAACATGTTAAAAAGGGAAGGGGCAGAGTGGAGATTCAAGGGGAGAGGAGAGGAACATATGTGTTATGAAATTTGAGAAAAACAAGTAGTAACCATAAGAGAGGAATGATTTGAAGATGAAATTAGAACCTAAGAGACGAATCATAAAAATTAGAATGGAAGAAATTCGGAAAATTTGAAATTACAGGAGGAATGTCTTTATGAAAGAAACAAGTAATTTATAAAGGACAATATTAACATGTATTATATTAAATATGTGCGGTACACCACATATATATATATAGTTCTGAAAAGAACTGTTGTTTTTAACATGAATTTTAATTGTTAGTGCAAGAAAAAAAGCATACACATCAAAATGTGAACAATTTTCAAAAATAGTGCTTACATTATACTCTGCAAAACTGCAACAGACCCTGTTTTAATGGCTATTGCAATTGAGAAACCCTGTTTAGTGAAAAGGAATGCATTGCGATGATCGGTAGACTTACAGACTACACTTGATAGGCTGTGTAGAATACTGACACTTTGTATGAACCCTGGCTAAATCAACCAGTTTGGCTCTGAAACCTACTTCATACAATTGCTGTGTTAGACACAAAATACAAAAAAAAATCTTCCACATAGAAAAATGTATAGCAAATTCCAGAATACATAATTTACCTTAAACCACAAACTTGCTATAAACTTCCTGGTTTAACATACATCTTTTACAGTGTTGAAACCTATTGGACTTAAAGTTAATATTATGAAATGTATACATGTTTCGGATTTTTGATAAATAACTATATCAGGTAAAATCAAATAGACAATGTCAACAGTAAACATTGTTGTTTGGAGATCAATGTATTCTAATGAAAAAGTTTGTCTCATTATGAATTGTAAATATATATTTATTCTATTGGGTGATAAAAAAAAAAGAAGAAAGTATTTATTTTACTAATTTTTTTCAAGAAGAATTTTTCAACGAATTTGTTAAATATGTTTCTATAAATTGAAGTATCAACATTTTTCACTGCCAAAATTGAGACGTTATTATAATCCATCTTAGATACCTGAAGATAAAACCGCTAAACACATAACTGTAAGTTTTACAGGTAAATTAAAAAATATTTACTGTAGCTACAGATCAAAACCTGAGCAGGTTTTTTTAACCGTACAGAAAGAAAAACATTGAAGAAATTCCAAATTGATTCTTGACCTGATGGATGTAATGGATAAAACAAACTTTATTCCTTCTCCATTACCATCAGTTCTGTTTTGGATAACAGGTGCTCCCTCCAATTCCAAGTAACTGGGTCAAACTGTATCATCTAGTTTCTATCACAAACCTGTTTTCCCTCATATTTATCATTTTTTCCGCCGTCTTTGGTCGCTTTTCCTCTGTCTTTGGTCGACTTTCTACATAATTTTCGTCGTCCTTCATTTTGAGGAGCTATCTTTGTTGAAATTTTTAGCTGCAAGCTTCGCTTTCTGCAAAAGTTTTTCAAAACACTTATAAATATGTAAGATGATCGAACATCTTATTTTCACACATTAAAATTACCAAAGGAACCTAACCTGTCTACCATATGTCAAATTTACATCATACTGTAGTTGGCCTGTTGCCAAAAAGTACATGTTTGATATTTTTAGCATGGGTCACTGTGGCTCTCTTTGTCGTAAGATATTCCAAATCTAGGCTAACTTGATAATGTACCCACATTATACTTGCACAGCACCCTAAATTTATAAACGGCTCAAACCAATATATTTTTATTACTTTGGATAGAAATTATTTTGAGGTACAGAAGACAATTGTAAAATAATACGCAAGATTAGATACGTCATATTCTGATATATGGCATAAACAGCTGTTTATTTACTGTATACTGTCTGTAACAACAATCTGGAAAACTCTAAAATATTATTAAAGGGCTATTCATTGTTTTTTCATAATTTTCAAGGGGAACAAAACATGTTAGGGGAGAAGGTTTCAAGAGTGATACTCTTTTATGAAATTTAAAAAATGATGACAAAAAAGACAACAATTATTTAATTATGAATTCTTTTTTGAGGATAGGGAAAGGAATTGGGGTAGGGGTCACAAAAAGAATGCTTCATTTACTCTTAAGTTTTTTAATGGATGATTCATAAATTTAAATATTGAATAAAGCTTATTTACATGACAGCATATCAAACACCAATGATAAAACATTGAAACAATTTTTCTCTTCACCACATTATCAAATTTTTGGTGACAAATATGTGATATACCCATATTTGTATGTTATATGATATTATCATCTCCATATATGAGCACATCACACAAATTTTTTAGATAGAGTTTAACAGTGTGAACAAACCTTAATGGCTGGTGACTTAAAGCAATTACTGTTGGATGTTAAAGACAAAAATATATTACAACCAATAGAAGAATAAAAAGAAATAACAAAAAATATGAAAAGTAGTTTTAAACGCTGAATAACCCAGACCGCTTAAATAGTCTTTGGCGACACAAATGAAATAAAATGACTTTAAAGACAATTAGCGACAGAAAAATCAAAATGTTACAGACGATAACCATAAATAAAAGCAATAATGTATAAATGAGTTAAAAGGACCGGAAGTTGTAACTTGAATGAATTCTTGGAACTCAACCATAAACGCCCATAAAATATTGATCAATTTGTAATCATTCATAAGATACTATTATTAGAATCAATTAAAGAAACAGCATGTTTAGTTGCTTGCTTTTGTAGATATTTTGAATTTTATGAAACGGCTGAGAGGTTGAGTATTCCGACAAGTAATTGTTTTCATAATTACATACAGTAATTAAAATAATTTTTTTATTTTTATAAACTGTATTTAATAATATATTTGCATTTTATAATAATTAGCCAGATCCATATGCAGCTAATTCCAAAATATTGTTTATATTAATGGTTAATTTTCTTAGGCTCGTATAGATGAAAATATTAAAAACTGCATTATCCATACATAAAGAAGGAAACTGACAGAAAAACATTTAGAAGGTGTAAACATCAGAAATAACAACAGAACAAGTGCAATGCACATCAAGATAAAGGTGGTAGCTTTTAAACACTAATGTAGAATATTGCTGCTTTTTCTTTATTAAACTCTCTCTGGTTCTAAAAGTTGGTAAAGTTATTCAAGCTTGGATTTTCAGGAGCGATGCACATCATATGTGTACGTTCCCACCCACTAGCATGTTAATCAGAGTTCTGCCAACCTTCATAGTTAGCGAAATGAATGATGAATTGATGGAACCATGATGGAACCTTGTTGGCGCTTGCACTAGCCCCAGGCCATCCTACTAATAACGTAACATAGCAAACTGTGACAGAAACTGCATAGCCTAGGAGCATTTCAGTCACAATAACTATCATGCGGTGTGATCAACTTGAGAAAACATTGGGCCTGACAGTAAGCGCTTTCTTATTTGCATCCAATATACTCTAATTCCAGCTTCACTATCAGGAATGTGTTATTATTTTGATGTACGTTGGCGCACATCACCGTGTCAATGAACTGACGTATCTCGTGTGTGTGACTGTTAATACATTTTTTACAAACAAGATGAATTTATTGCCCAACTAATGACCTCCAGAGGTAAATTAGTCATGATGAGAACTCTCAGCTAATACTCATCAATGTCTCAAGCCCAGTAGCCTATATACATATTTTTAAAATGTGGCTATTTACTATATAAAATAATATTTAAGATTGAGGATGAGCTAATGTTAACAGAACAATATCTTAACATAGAGGGCGCTCAAAAAAGGCAAAGCATTCCTATTGTACTTCTAAACATATAAACATAGTTATAATATTTTAATGATGGTAATGATTTCTACAAAATAAAGAAAATACAAAGTGTTGAAAATCAGGAAAGGGATGTTTACTTATAAAAAAAATTTAAAAAAATAAAAAAATTACAAAAATGGTTAAGACGAAGATGACCAACAGTATAGTTAATAGCTCATGATGGTGACAATGATAAATTGATAATGATGATAATTATTATAACAGTGAAAAATGACAATGATGATGTTAATGAAAAAGATAATGATGATAAAAATGATGATGATTATAAGAAAATGAAAAAGATGATTATGATGAAGATGGATGATGATGATAGTAAATAATGATAAAATTGAAAATGATGTTGATAATAAGGATGATGATATGAAGGCAATGATGATAAAGATAAAAATGAAAATATTGATGATGAAGATGACAATATAATAATGATGATGATGATGACGATGATGATAATGATTTAATAATAAAAGCCTTGAACTTACCAATCCTCCTGCTTTTTTCACTCCTTTTACTATCAATGTTTCCTTCTGTTTATCTTCTTTTATCTTCTTCACTTTCTCATGGGCCTCTTTTACTCTATAAAAATGCAAACAAAAATTGTTATAAGTTCCATACTTATTAATTTTTATTGACATAATTCAAATAATCTGTTCACCTCTTCCATAGAATATCTGTTGGGATTCTCTTTTTAAAAAAAATTAATTGTTCAGTTAAAAAATCAAATAAGTTGCCAAATAAAAAAAAAACCAGATCAAATTATATCATTTGTCGATTTACAAACATTTTAGTACAAAAATTCTTTTTTATACGTCAGTTAATTGACAAGCAAAATAGTTTCTCGTTCTAAATTTCAATTAATACCTAATAATTTATTTAAAAAAAAAAAAATACAAAGTAATGAAAATATTTGATTTAATTCTATAAAGTTTATTAGCTTCAGCCATGATACAATTCAACTTATATACCTCCCTGACTCTGAACGATTTCAGCACCTTCATAATTTGTAAAAACATTACATAAAGAGTTCATCCTAAAAATGTTCAGAATTCTTCCTTACTTTTGTTTAGCGATCCGCTGTTGTTCTTTCTTCCAGATGTCTTTGAAATCTCGACAAAAAGGCGCCCAGAGGTTGAATAGATAGTGTGGGGTGACGGTGTCTTCACCCTGTTTAGGTTTCACGCAGTAATAATTCACCAACGAATCAAAGCTATCAAAATAAAGAAGAATAAATAGAGCACTTTAACCACTTGCAAAGCACTTCGTAAGATTTATGCCTCTTATTGAAGTGGACACAAATTAATGTTTACATAAGAGTATGTGTTGTTAGTACCAAAGACATCACAGAAATACATACTGTATACAAATAATGTATATGTATATGTGTATACAGTAGAACCCCTATTAAGGGGACACCTTTGGGACCAAAACAAGTGCCTATTTAACAGC